CGAGGAAGGAGACCCGGCATCGCCCTCCTCTTGCCAGGGCCGGGAGCCTTTTCCCAGCACGCTGTGGGAAGGGAACAGAACACGGACAGCAGGGCGTGATGGCCACACAGAGACACGGAGCCGCAGCCCCTCCGTGGTCACCCAGCACAACGCTGGGCTCCCAGCTGGCTCTGTCCCAGGCCTTCGACACCCAGGCTGCGGGTAGCAGAGCTCGGAGCCCAGGCTGTGGATGCACGACCCCGCCGCCTGCTCCGGTGCAAGGAACGGCAGGGAGCTGGGCCTGTCCTCCGGGCCTCGGGCAGCAGCCACGCACCCTGGCACCCACAGCACCCAAACGGTGTCACGTGCCCTCGGTGGGGCGGAAAACTGTACCTGGGCCACGTCCTGGTTCTCATCGTGCATCCGAAGGTGCAGTGGGACCAGGCCTCTGCGCACCGTCCCCTTCATTCTGCTCCGGTGGCACCAGACCACGGCCTGCACCATGTCTCTGTAGAGACGGATGGAGGACACCTGCACGGCACTGGACTCCTGGGAGGGAGGGAGGAAGGAAGAGAATTCTAGCACGAGGAGGCCGGGCCGCCTTCACACGGCCTCCGTGGCACGCAGCGCCTGCGGGCCTTCCTGCACCGTGCGTGGGGACCAGGCCTGGCCTGGCCTTGCACAGGCAGCGGAGGAGGCACGGAGGGCCGGAAGCCAAGGGTGGGGAGCAGATGCTGGGCGCGGGGCTCTCCGAGGGCCCACAGCCGTCCCACTGCTCGGAAGGAGCCCCAGGAGGAGCGGGGAGGGGAGAGGGCCCGATGCGAGTGCTGCCCACACAGCTGGGCCAGAGGCGGGGGCACTGCAGAGTGCCCTGCGAGGGCTCTGCCTCCTGCAGCAGCTTCACTTACATCGACAAAGAGAGGCAGGAGCTTCTCGGCGTGCTGCACGGCGATGGAGCTGGCCTCCTTCCTCTTCACGCAGCCCATGATGTTTTGAATGACAAACAGGGCCTTCATCTTGATGTCTGCGCTGGCATCCTGCAGGGTGGCCATGATCTCTGGCAGCACCACCCGCATTTTTCTTGCCTGTAGGAAACGCAAGTTCCTTTGTCTGATGCGGGAACGACCGCCTGGGCAAAAGGCTCCCGTCTCTGAGCTCCAGTCTCCTGCTTCACTTGCTGGCAGCGGGCACGGCAGTCGCAAGGCCAATGGGGAAATCCTTTTCTCAGAGGGCGGTGAGGCTGCCCAGAGAAGTAGGTACCCCATCCCTGGAGGTACCCAAGGCCAGGACGGATGGGGCCAGGGGCAACCTGCTCTGGTAGGTGACAACTAGCCCACGGTAAAAGCTGACTTTACTGGGCTTTGACGTCCCATCCTCAAAGCTCCTCAAAGCCAGCAGGCCCCACCGTGACCGTCACCCTTCTCCCGTCGCTGCCCAAGAAGCCCAGTGCCGCTTTGGTTGACAACGCCCCACTCACCTTCTCCCGTGTCTCGGAGAGTACGACAAGCCCTCTGAGCACCACGCTGTGCATCTCCACGCTTGGATGCTTCAGAAAAGTCTTGAGGTGGCGCAGGTCACCAAAAAAGTCCTCATTATCTTCACTCTTTGCCATTAGCTGAAACATAGACATAGCCAGGTGAGAGCCTGCAGGGGCACACGCAGCCCCGAAGGGCAGCAAAGTGTTCTCCATTAACTCACAGCCAAGAAGAGGATACAGGTGTCTTCTGTGACTCCTTCTACCAGCCTGCTCAGCTGTGAGCCCTTGGTCACCTCCTTCAAGACCTTCTCCAAGGTCTGCGGCATGCAGAGCATCACCTCCCACGGGTCCAGGGCGTTGCTGCAAGCCCAAATACATTGTAGGCAGAGCTACCTTAGCACAGCTAAAACCCTGCAGGCCCACGTTGCTTGGAGAGCCCTGGGCGAGCAGGAGGGCACCTGGAAGAAGCCCTCCAGGCTGCTGAGGACAGTACCTGTCGCTTGGTGGAGAGGACTTCAGCAGGCTCCTGACTTCTTCCGTGGGCATCTGGCTGGTCAGAAGGAGCAGCAGGGAGTCCAGGCAGTGCCGCGCTGCCTTTGTGGTGATGCTCCTCAAGTTCTTGCGGATGAAGGTCATGAACTGGGCTTTCTGAAGGGGACACACGCGAGAACAGACCACAACCATTAGCACAGGTGCCGCTGAAACCACTGCACTTCCCATCGCTGAGAACGGCTTCAGGAGCCCCAGAGGCCTCGGCTGGGGAGGGAAGAACAGCGCCTGAAAGGGCTCAAGGATGGGGCAGTGGCCAAAAGGGGCTTACATCTGGCATCCAGAAGGCGTGGTCTTCCATGGCCACGGCCATCACACTGCAGGCCGCCTCCTTGTCATAGATGCTGGAGTCAACCAGCGCTTGAAGGGCTGTGAGGACGACGTCCATCCTCTCAGCAGGCCTGAGGTATCCTCCAAACAACTGTGGGTGGAAGCAGGGGAGGGAAGAGATGCCACACTGAGCACTCCAGTGCAGGGAGAGCAGCTCTGCAGAGATGCTGGGCAGCAGAGCCTGTAGGAAAGCTGGCAGCATCAGCTTCCGTCACTGCGTGGGGCAGGATGGCAAGAGAGGGCTCTGGGAGATGGACTGCAGGTGGGGGCATGGGCGTTTGGTAAGAAGGCCTTGCGGTCCTCCAGCCAGGAGGGCTGGATCTGCTGCCCTCGCACTCCCCTTGCTCACAGACATTTCCTGCTGATGCCATGGACAAGATCCTCAGCAAGGCAGAACGTTACCTCAGCACAATCTTTGGGAGTGGGAAAGTCATTATCACTGAACTTTCTACCCTCCGGCTTCTCATGGAGATGCACGTAGTTTTCCATCTCCGCTGACAGGCTTGCTCCTAAAAGGGAGGGAACACAGAAGAGTCAGAAGGAAACAATGTCTTTGCCATCAAACTCAGCAATTGGTGAACGGTGCTTTAAGCTGAAAACGGAGTTCTGAGGAGACCCACGGTAGAGGGGACCCGTGGTGTAGGAGACCTGAGCACGGAGACCAATGGTGAGCAGACATGGGTTGATGGGACCCATGCTGAGGAGAGTGAAGGAAAGGGATTACACAGCTAAAGGAGATGGGTGCTGGGAGCAAGAGGCAGCTTAGGAATGGTGAAGCTGCTCGTAAGAGTAAAGGAGCTCAGAGAGCTTGCGGACTCCACGGTCAGGCTTCACAAAGCATAAGAATAGGAGAAAGGAGCAGACATAGGAGCAGAGATGCTGCCCAACCCATCTTGTCTTACTTCTTTGTCGTTTGACAAACATGTGGAGGCGATGAAGCGCTTGTACAGCTGGGGCTCTGGTGCTTTCGTAGCCACAGTTGAAAAGGCTGAGGTGACCCAGCAGCTCTCCCAGGATTGGGAAGTAGAAGTCAATGAGTGGCTTGTAAGCTTCAGGGCCCTCCCAGTCCTGGGTGAGAGAAGGAGAAGAGAGGAAGGGCTGAGTGGAAGCAGAGCAGGGCCTGGAGAGGGAAGAGCGGGGGCAAAGATGGGGCAAGGACCCTTGTTTGGGGCAGAGCCCTGCTGAGAGCTCCCAGCCGCAGCCCCGCTGCAGGCACCCCTGAGCTGCTCTGGGATATGGAGAATGGGAGACAGCCTGGCTGGAGGGTGCCTGGCTCCTTACTTTTTCCATAAAATTACGGATCATCTGTAAAACCCCACGCAGGGCTCTCGTACGGACATGCACATCCTGGGAGCTGAGGAAGTGGAGCAGAGCCTGCAAAGAGAGAATCTGCTGGTACTCGCCCTGGGAGCTTCTGCCGCTCCAGCAGGAGCTCTGGGATCTTCCCCACGGGGGAAGAAGAACAGAGCAGCAGGGGCAGGATCCTTTGCAGGACCTTCACGTGCAAGGAGGGTCTGTGTCACCGCAGTAGGGACATTCGCATCCCTCCCACTGACCCCGCTCTTTGCAACTGCCTGCCAGACCTGAAACATGCTGTGCAGCTCCTCGCTCATTCTCCTGTTGGGGCAGTTCTGCACCAAGGCTTCCAGCATGATGCCCATGGCCCTCATGGTCTGCAAGAGGACAGAGAGTTGCAGAAGGGCGCCTGCGGCACCTCACGGGGCACCTCATGCTAACCCTATCCCCAGAGAAGAGACGAGACGAGGGTGGCAAAGCAAAGCTGGCTTCCTGCCCTGCCTGGCTCTCCTGCGGTCTCAGCACAAGGAGCCAGGGAGCAGCCCAAAGGGACCTGGCGCTCCGGTGGCTCACCCAGCACACACCTCATTGTAGAGTTCTTTCTCCTTTGCTGGTATGCTCAGTTCCGGAGGCAAAAAGAAGACACTGTTGAAGCAGGAATTCAGAATGCTCTCCGTTTTGCCTTCCAGCGCTGTCTCCACAGTGCTGCAAGGGGAGAGAGAAGCCCGTTGGACACCGTGCCTCGAGGCCACGGGAAGGAGGACGTGGACCTCCACGGGCAGGAGGAAGCCTCCCTGCCAGCTTCAGGGCCGCCAGCAGCCTGCCCTGGGGCCGTGCTAGCCAAATGTGGGCCTGGGCAGCTACCTCATGTTGGCAAAGCTCATCATGGCTTCCTGCTTTATCTCCGAGGACAAAGTGTGCTTGGGCTCCTCATCGATCAGCGCCTGCAGAACACAGGAGGGATGGGATGGATGGGACGTGGCAGCTACCAGAGGACACTTACGTGTCCGTGCTCAATTCTCCCCGTGCTAGCCTTGTCCACAAAAGGGTACAGGGGGTCCACGCCCCCTTTTCCAGCCCACTGCCTTTCTCCCCACCTGGACATTCTCTGCCAGCTGCTTTTCTTGGCAGAAAGCATCCAAGTTGAGCGACGTGTCCCTGCATTTGCACAGCGTGCAGATGCCTCTCAGGAATTTGATTTTCTCTTGCACATCCTGGTAGTCAAAGAGGGAACAAGAGGGGGCATGAAGGTGAGATCCACGGCCAGCAGGACCCCAAGCATCGTGGGGCGCGGTGCAATGCCTGCAGGGTAGCGGCCTGGAGAAGAACCGGGGCTGTTTCCACAGTGAGTGCAAACAGCTGCTCTTACCTTGTCCTTTCTCTGCAGAAACTCACAGATGCATGCGATGGCTGTTTCTCTCCACAGCTCCAAGATGCGAATACCTAAGCAAGAGGAGAAGAATGAGCACCGTAGAGAGGGGCCAAAGGCAAGGAGTGAGCCATCCTGCCTGCCTGCTTCCCTGACATCCTGCCAGCCCAGCAGCCTCTCGGCACCCATCCCAACAGTCTGGGAGAGGTTGGCACTGGCGCAGGCTGCCCAGAGAAGCTGCGGCTGCCCCATCCTTGGAGGTGCTCGAGGCCAGGCAGGATGGGGCTGCGGGCAGCCTGAGCCAGTGGGTGGCAACCAGCCCACAACAGGGGCTGGGCCTGTGAGGGCTTTGAGGTCCCTCCACACCCAACCATTCCTGGATCCCGTGGTTCCACGCTCCCTTTAGCTGGAGCTGGACTCCATGCTGGGAAAGGGAGTTTCAGGAAAGGAGGTGCCGGAAGAAGTGGGTGCCAGCTTTGAATCAAGCATGACCGCTGTGCCCAGTGCTTCCCACCCGTTACTCACGTGGATTTATGATCTTCTTTTTCTTCTCCTTCTCCTCCTTTTCAGGAGGCCACTCCTGCCAAGCCAACCTTGGCCTGCAGGGGGGTCTCACCTCCGTCTCACCAGACTGAGAACCAGAGCTGGCATAGGGAGGGGAGAAGGAAAGGTAGATTCGCCGGCTCTTACGGGCAGGCGGAAGTGGCATGGCGAGAAGTGGACTGTGCTCAAGAAGCCTCGAAGGTCCCTGTGCTCAAGAAGCCTTGAAGGTCCTTGTGCTCAAGAAGCCTTGAAGGTCCCTGTGCTCCTGTCGCTGTCGCTCCTGCGACTGTTCTGGCTTTCCCTTGGCTATTACCTAGGCTGCCCTCACCCTTTGTGATGTCGCTGATGACACACAATGGGCGGCCTTTAGAACTGTGCCTGTACCCTCAGCAGCTTGTAGGGGCGCAGACCAAACACATCTGGTTGTGCTCACATGTTGCATAGAGAATGGATCACAGCAAACACTGCATCCATTAATTGGAAATATCCAAGTCACGTTTGTCAGGACGGTATCTCTGGTAACAGCAGAATTTATTTGCGGTTGCAATGGCGGCGTCCCGCAAGCAGGAGCGCCTATGGACACAACATGGCAGCCTTTAGACCCTGTTTGCTCCCCCTTGCCTCCCCCTTGCCTCCCCCGTTTCCCCACTGGCTGCGTACTCCAGGTTCACAATCTTACAGAAGGTTGACATTTGCTGTTTACTTGTTAATTTATTTGTTACCTGCTGTCAGTCAGCAGCCGTGCTGTTGTTTCCAAGCTGTCTCGGTGCTCTCCTTGCCGTATTGATACGGCGATTTTCTTTCAAGTCTGCGTTAAACAAAGAGCACCGGGGATGATGCCAGGCCTGCCGATGTCTCTTCAGGCGCTTCCTGGGGCAGGCCATGGCTGTTCTGTGGTTTGCTCTCGTGCAGGATATTCCTGCAGCGTGTGACCAAATGTACAGATATACACCTCTATACAGAGTGTGCGTGCCTGGGAAGGTTCGTCTAGAGGATCAGTGATGCAAACTATCAGAGATCTTCCCGAGGTGAAGTAGAAGGACTCCCCAAAAGAACTATGATAGCAGAGCTCGTGAAATAAAAACAAAATTATCCAATTGTAATGCAGAAACAAGACTTGATTCCCGCACGTTCATAGCCCAGGGCATAGAATCATGGAGCCACAGAACCCGTAGAGTTGGAAGGGACTCTGAAGGCCATCTCGTCCACCTCCCCCACTATGAACACAGACACCACAGCTCCATCGGACGCCCTGCCCGCTCCAGCCTTGCCTTTGAAGTCTTCAGGGATGGACGCCAACACGTCTCTACGCAGCCTTCTTCCAGGCACACAGGTTTGCCAGGGCTGAGCTGGGGCAGGAGCGACACAGACAGACGCTCGGGTCCTGAGCGGAGCTGCTGCTGCCGCTGCCCGCCTGCTCCTCCGGGAAGCCGCCCCTCCCCCCTCAGCTGCTCCACGTGCCGTAGAAGGCGGGAAGCGCAACCAGAAGATTCCCTCGTGAAGTCCCACTGCTCCGCACGGCGTTCTGGTGTGCGACAGTGACAACAAAAAGTCTCAGAACCACAACAGAGGCAGATTGTGTTTCTGCAGTAGAAGCTTCCAGGTTTTTTTTCTATGTGGTGTATTCCTGAAATTAGAACCTTCCTGTGAACCTGTTGTTTCCAGTTATTTATTTATTTTATTTTTTGTATGCCGCGGGGGCCCTTGCTGAACTTACAAAAGAGTCCTAAACGTTATTGATTCGTAAAGAAAGCTGACGGAGGGAAGTTGGAAATGGGCTGTAGTGACTCGGGTAGGACTGACGGCACAAGATAAGGAAAGTACGCAGGATGGGAGAGAACAGCATAGGACGGCATGGGGACAGTCAGGCAAAGGATGGGGAGAGCTGAGCACAGGACAGGAGAGATGTGCTAACTTTGGAATATTGCTCTCCTGTCCAAACACAAAGCAGAACGGATGTGCTAACTTCAAAACGCTGCAGATATTGCAAAGTACAAAGCATTCCTAAAGACGAGAGGTTGGTAGCGGCCCATAGGTGGAGATGTATCACGGCAACAGTGTGGGGAAGATTGTGAGCCTGAGACGCTCAAGCAGGGAGAGCCAGGGGAGGCATTACCTGCGTCGGGTTTAGGGCACGGAACAGAACGGATTTCACTGCCAGTGCACAATTTCTCCCTTGCCAACAGTCACAGAATCATAGAATTGCTCAGGTTGGAAAAGACCTTCAAGATCATCAAGTCCCACCTCAGCCCAACCACGCTGCCCTAACTAACCATTCACCACTAAATCATGTCCCTGAGCACCACAGCCAGACGGTTCTGAAACACATCCAGGGATGCTGACTCCCCACACCTCCCTGGGAAGCTTTCTGTAAAGAAGTTCTTCCTGATGTGCAACCTAAAACTCCCCTGGCACAACCTGAGGCCATTTCCCCTCGTCTTGTCACCAGTGAGAAGAGTCCAGCCCTGCTCTCACTGCAGTCACCTTTCAGGTATTTGAGGAGAGCCATAAGGTCTCCCCTCAGCCTCCTCTTCCCCAGACCAAGCAGCCCCAGTTCCTTCAGCCTCTCCTCACAGGCCATATTCTGCAAGCCCTTCCGCAGCCTTGTTGCCCTTCTTTGCACCTGCTCCAGCACCTCCGTGTCCTTTCTGTGCTGAGCTGCCCAAAGCTGAAGCCAGCACTCGAGGTGAGGCCTCAGCAGTGCCGAGCACAGGGGCAGGATGACTTCCCTGGTCCTGCTCACCACACCATTCCTGATCCAAGCCAGGATGCCATTGGCCTTCCTGGCCCCCTGCTGGCTCATATTCAGCCGCCTGTCCATCAGTCCTCCAAGGTCCCTTTCTGTCAGGCAGCTTCCAGCCACTCCTCCCAAGGCTGTAGGGTTGCCTGGGGCTGCTGTGACCAAAATGCAGGAGCCGACCCTTGGCCCTATTGAAACTCAGTTTACTTTGGCCCATCGATGCAGTCTATCCAGCTCTCACTGTGGTGCCTTCCTCTGCTCCTGCTATGCAGGCTCTCTGCAGTGCTAAGGGCAGCGTTTTCCCCATAGCGCTGCCTGCAGTACATTTAAAGGAAAGGGTTCATTGGTTTATTGCTCACCCACTCCACTCATGTGATCCCACTGAGCCCCTTTTGGAGTGTGGACAGTCCGTGATCCTGTGTCTCTTGGACACCAAGCCGTCCTCCCCTGGGACAGGGTGACTCAACAGCCCTCTGCATTTCCCTCAACAAAACGAAACAAATAAAATGCAAAACATTTATTTGAGTGTTGTTGTACAAAAAGTTTCCAGTCTGAAAATGTATATTACAAATCATTGAAAAAGACATTTGGCATGCATATTCTAAGAGGAAAAAAAATGAAAATAAAACCACAACATTTTGAAATGGTAAAGTCTAGATCATTATGTAGTTTTCATGAGCTCCATGTAACGCTCCCGTCCTTTTGTGCCTGCTTTCCGATTTGTACATTTCTCACAATCCCTTCTTTTAAATAAAATGAGAGCCTTCTGAAAATGGGTTGGCAGCAGCTGAGTGCAGGCAGTGACACTGCCAGAACTACAAGGTGATGCAGAACAAAATCCACAACTCGATCACAGGGCAACACCAGCATCATTATGAACAGCTGAATAGAGAAGTTACTGTTCTGCCCAGACGTAAAGCGCTTTGGCCTCGCCTTGCTTAAGACAGCTTATTGCTCATGATTTTAGTGTGATGAACACTGGGCAGCTGAGATACACAGCAGCATTTACCTTACAGACAAAGGATCATCACGTTGTTAACAGGGAAATGTGGGTCCAGTACAACGCTTTCTTCCTGAACTCCGTGTCCATGCGCTGCTCGTGTGGCTCTGAACGGAGTCTTGTGACATGAAGAGTCCCATTCACTCTCTAGACCTTAGCATTTCAAGAAAGGCATTATGCTTACAAATGATAATTGCATGTAAATATGATTTTGTATAAAAAACACTTAAATTATTTTAAAGTGGTTTAAAGCTAAGCACATCGAAGCGCAATTTAAAATTCTGTTTCCCAGGCCATTTGAGACGTCGGACCAACGACCACCTCTCATTTGTCTTGCTGTTCAGCTACAGCAACGATTCCGAAATGCAATCACTATCTCACCTTCCACTCACTGGTTTACAACAGAGCTTTTGTCCCTGCTTGCGCAGGGCTTGGGGTTTGGACCCAACAGTGGCAATGAAATCCAGGGTGGAATATGGATACTCCTTTGTTTAGAGAGAAGATTTCAAGAAGAAAAAAAGAGAATGAATGGCTTAAGGAAGGGAGGGAAGTGGCTACAAGGCTCCCAGCACAGAGCGTTGGCAAACAGCATCACAATCTTCTTAGTACACACAGAAGAAAAAGGTTCTCAAACATTCTGGGGGATAGAGAGGATTTCTAGGAGCCTCTCCCAACCACTCCCTGCTCAGGCTGCAGCTAAAAGGCTTCACACAGGATTGCAAAGGAAAAGGCTGCACAAAAAACTCTACAGTCCCTAAACTGGACATGAGGCGTCCTGTTGCTCGAGGATA